ATCTGGTGAAAATTTCATGTCATTAGCACCTCTAGTAATATATTTACTGAGAAAAATGGTGACGTGTTCAATACTTATTTTACCCGCTGTAACAATAGTCAAACAATAGATTTTAAGAATCAATACTTAAAAAGGAAAACTATGAATATGGTGTGGTGCTTTTAAAATTAGTTTTTAAATGACTAATAAATTTCTTCAACTTCCCCCTGTTCACGACATTTACTCATGTGAACATCTATGTTCACCAGAGGAACTGGGAACATAGGGTGACCCTGTGATACATGTACCAAACCATACCCTAACCAAATAATCAATCAAAATGGGAAAAAACCAAAGATGTTGTTTGAAACTTCACAACATCCAGGTGAAAAGAGCCACAGGACATCTGTAACAGACCAGTTTTTACTGCGTTAATAAAAACTGTCAGGCAGATGTTTTATACTCCTCTACAACCCAACTGTTGTCTAAATTCCTAGTTTTAGACCTCCAGTTTCAGTCTCGTTTAGTGTATTTTTTTTTGGTGTCGTTTAGTGTTAATTGAACCGCTGTGTTTCAGATAATTAGTTATCCATCTGTTACGTTTGCTGCAGGCTGCCTGTTGGGTCCACAGGCTCCACTCTGATCCCTCTGAACTTACAGCTTCTTTGCATCAGACTTTGTTCACCATTAGGATGCTGCTCAGACAGGATGACTGACACAGCTGATGATGTGGATGGATCAACCGATCCATCAGCTATATTTTATAAAAAAAAAAAAAACTGTTTTACTGGTTGGAGTCATCTGTGAAAACACAAAATGCTGAATAACTTGAATAAAATGGGTTAGGGAGCTGTTAAACTCAGTGGTTCAAGATAAAATGAGCAGAACAAAAGCTAAAAGTAGCAAAAAGGTCAAATACTCTGACTACTGTTACATGTTGTTCTTAATACGTTAYTTCTCTGTTCTACTAAAAGTTGTTTGTAACATGTGAAAACTCATAATTACTTTAAAAATTGTATGTTTGTTACCTTTTTCACTTAGGGTCAGTGTCATATTGTTACTGACACAATGCATTCTGGGTATGATGATAATAATGCCAGATAATAATGCCACTAAAACACAGATTCAAGGCTAAAAAACTATAATGTGGGACAAAATCATAGGGCCTGTGACATCAAACTTAAGTAATAAATATGAATGCTTGTTTGGAAAGATAACATTGATAACATATTGCAAAAAAAAATCATGCTGCTGAGATGAACAGTTGTTGAGATATTTATATGTGCAATAATWGGAAGTGATGTCAAAGGGGTATTTCTGCCTGTGAACAGAGCATTGTTACAACAGCTAATAACCCAGACTGTAGAGAAGAATCTGATGTTTCTGTAGATTATTTTGAGTCACAATCAAAGAGAGATGAAGAATAGTCAGAGTTACGATAATATTGTTTCAATAAACAAAGTTTTTTTTCCTTAAGAGTTCCCCTTTGATGTCACTTCCTGTTTCACTTTGGCAGAACCAATTTAAAAAAATGCCAGTTATGTAACAAAATGGATAAAATCATGTATTATGTAAGTTTCTTATAGATCTTTGACGTTTTGTATTTGGAGGAAATGTCCCGTATTTATTCAAGTATAATATGTAAAATTTTAAAACCATAAAATCATCCATAAAGTTGGGAGGTAGTACTATACTCGGATAAATAAATTTCCTTATGTATTTTAACTGAAATATTGGCTTCATTCACAAAATACCCGAGTCCGGAAATGAGACCGCGTTGTAAAAAGCAGTTGAAGTAAGCTCACTTCTGACACTCCTTCATATTTCAGAACGAGATAATAACAGATCCAGGCAGGAGACATGATGTGAAAAAAAAAGAAAAAAAAAAGCAGTCCTGCAGCTCAGTAATGATAGCGAACTAATGACATTAGCGTGTGACTGAGCCACTCCTGGAACAACAACAAACACATGTTCATCTGTAATGGCTGCCGTCTACCAGTGTTCTGAAAAAGTTTGTATCCCTGAAAAA